TTGACCGGAATTGAACCTGGGACCCTTCAGTCTGCAGGCCAACTCTCTATCCACCGAGCCAAACCGGTTAGGGCTAAAAGTATATTTTTAATAAATCAATCAATCAATAAATAAAGGCAGTCATATTGGTGTAGGGCCCACCCTAATGACCTCATCTTGACTCCATCTGCTCTGGAAACACTGCCACATTCATGGGTATTGAGGATTAGGACTCCAACATCTTTTTGGGGGACACAATTCAACCTAACTCTTTTTTTCAGACAAAGACTGATACTCAGGTTTACTGACTCTTCTAAAGTCATCAGAGCCAGCTGGGGACAGTTGGGGACCAGGGCCTTCCACCTCAGCCTACTTCTCTCCCGATTCCCCAGATCCCTCACCCTCTTTCACCCTCTTCCCTAATCCATAGGTGACACAGGACAAGATCATCTGTCTGCCCAGTCATGAACCCCGGGAGAACTTATCTGAGGCCCCGTGTCAGCAACTGTTGTTGCAGGGGGTCCCTGAACAGATGGAGGGTCTCCAGGAAGTGAGCGGCCTCAAAAATAACCTGGACCTGCAGCAGTACAGCTTCATTAACCAGCTCTGCTATGAGAAGGCCCTTCATTGGTACCCCAAGTACTTTCCCTACCTGGTTGTCATTCACACACTCATCTTTATGGTCTGCACTAGCTTCTGGTTCAAGTTCCCTGGCACAAGCTCCAAGATCGAACACTTCACCTCTATCCTGGGCAAGTGTTTCGATTCACCATGGACCACACGGGCTCTGTCTGAGGTCTCGGGGGAGAACCGTAAGGGCCATGCCACTGGACAGGCAACAGCAACTGTGGCTGCTGAGGCAGGGCCAGGGAAGGTGGGGGAGGGTGAAACAGAGAAGGTGCTGACAGAGCCCGAGAAGGTGGTGACTGAGCCACCAGCTGTTACCCTGCTGGACAAGAAGGAGGGGGAACAGGCCAAAGCCCTGTTTGAGAAGGTCAAGAAGTTCCGTGTGCACGTGGAAGAGGGGGACATTTTATACACCATGTACATCAGGCAGATGGTGCTCAAAGTCTGCAAGTTCTTTGCCATCCTGGTCTACAACCTCATCTATGTGGAGAAGATAAGCTTTGTGGTGGCCTGCACAGTGGAGACTTCAAGGTTCACGGGCTATGCCAGCTTCTGCTGCAACCACACCAAGGCCCACCTCTTCTCCAAGCTGGCTTTCTGCTACATCTCCTTTGTGTGTGTCTATGGGATCACCTGCCTCTATACACTCTATTGGCTCTTCCACCGACCCCTCAAGGAATACTCCTTCCGCTCTGTTCGGGAGGAGACCGGCATGGGTGACATTCCCGATGTCAAGAATGACTTTGCCTTTATGCTGCACCTCATCGACCAGTATGACCCACTGTACTCCAAGCGCTTCGCTGTCTTCCTCTCCGAGGTCAGCGAGAGCCGCCTGAAGCAGCTCAACCTCAACCATGAGTGGACACCTGAGAAACTTCGGCAGAAGCTGCAGCACAACACCAAGGGCCGGCTGGAGCTGGCGCTCTGCATGCTCCCAGGACTGCCTGATACCGTCTTTGAGCTCCGCGAGGTCGAGGCACTCCGCCTGGAGGCCATCTCTGATATCACTTTCCCCCCAGGCCTGTCACAGCTGGTGCACCTGCAGGAACTCAGCCTGATCCACTCTCCTGCCAGGCTACCCTTTTCCTTGCAGATCTTTCTGCGGGACCGCCTGAAGGTCATCCGTATCAAGTGTGAGGAGCTCCGCGAGGTGCCTCTCTGGGTGTTTGGGCTGCGTGGCCTGGAAGAGCTGCACCTTGAGGGGCTCTTTCCCCCAGAGCTGGCTCAGGCAGCTACCCTTGAGAGCCTCCGAGAGCTGAAGCAGCTCAAGGTGCTATCTCTTTGGAGCAATGCCGGCAAGGTCCCTGCCAGCGTGACTGATGTGGCTGGTCACCTGCAGCGGCTTAGCCTGCACAATGATGGGGCCCGCCTGCTGGCCCTTAATAGCCTCAAGAAGCTGACGGTGCTACGGGAGCTGGAGCTAGTGGCCTGTGGGCTGGAGCGCATCCCCCATGCAGTCTTTAGCCTAGGCGCACTGCAGGAACTTGACCTTAAGGACAACCACCTGCGGTCCATTGAGGAGATCCTCAGCTTCCAGCACTGTCGCAAGCTGATCACGCTCAGGCTATGGCACAACCAGATTGCCTACGTCCCCGAACATGTACGTAAGCTGCGGGTCCTTGAGCAGCTCTACCTCAGCCACAACAAGCTGGAGGCCCTGCCCACCCAACTGGGCATGTGCTCTGGCCTCCGCCTGCTGGATGTTACCCACAATGGGTTACACTCCCTGCCACCTGAGCTGGGTCTCCTGCAGAACCTGCAACACCTGGCTCTCTCCTACAATGCCCTGGAGACCCTGCCTGATGAGCTCTTCTTCTGCTGTAAGCTTCGGACGTTACTCCTGGGCTACAATCAGCTGACTCAGCTGTCTCCCCAGGTGGGGGCCCTCAGGTCCCTCATCCGCCTGGAGCTCAAGGGCAACAGGTTGGAGGCTCTGCCAGAAGAACTGGGCAACTGTAGAGGGCTTAAGAAGGCTGGGCTTCTGGTGGAGAACAGCCTTTATGAGGGCCTGCCAGCAGAGGTTCGAGAGAAGATGGAAGAGGAGTAAAGCCAGGGAGGGGCAGGTTGCAGTAGAGGCTTTCTGGATGCTTCTATCCCAAAATCTCTACTACTGTCTTTGCCACTGAGGTGGCCAGGTGAGCCCAGGCCAGGAGAGGAGAGAAGGAGCCGACATGTCAGCCCATGGGGCCCAGGCAAGATCTTGGGACTGGTTTATCTGGGGAGATGGGAAGTTGTGGATTTGGGGTGGAATGGCATGGAGAGATTAACTCAGTCATAGATTCTCAGAACAAAACCACATCTGTGTCTTGGCTGGCTGGCCTGCCTCAGCCCTGGGCCAGAACTTCTGCCCTCCCCTTGGACATTCTAGCTCAGTCAGTGCCACAAAAGGGGGTAAGGACACAACCCGATAGGATTTCAATCTTCTCCCCCCTACCAAAGCTTACATCTGGGGTTCTCTCCCAAGGTGTCACAGACACAAGGGACCAGCACACACTGCCCTGACTTGATGTTATTTCTCTTATTTGGCAATGCATCAAAATCAACATTCCCAGAAAACATCACAGGTCCCACCCCTGAAAGTCTGACTCAGGAGCTTTGTCTCGAGGCCAGGAACTTGCCTGTCAATAAGTGCTCCAGGTAACCCTGCTGCCTGTGGTCCTAGACATTTATGTTGGGAAATGCTGACCTACAGAGGAGGTATCTAGAGCAGGAATTCTGAACCCTTTTTAGGTCCCCAAACCCTTTGAGAATCTGATGAAAGCTGGGCACCTCTTTCCTCAAGAAAATGCCTGTGTACACAGACATACACAATTCTGTAAACAATTCCAGGCAGTCAACTCCCCAAGGACTATTCATGGGTGTCCTAAGGATTGCAGACCCCAGGTTAAGAACACCTGCTGTGGAGGGTACATTTTTAAAAATAAATAATACTAATTATCAGAACTATCATTCTGATTTCCTGTGTCCACCCCTCTTGTCTAAGCCATTTCATGAGAACAATTATAGGCAGGTAGCCACAGTGCCACAATAAAGGGTATGTGTCTCTGTCCTGGAGACCTCAGGTAATCAGGAGAAATTAGGTGGCATCTCCTGATTAGCTTTTTTCTTGGAAAACCCATCTTCTTATACCTTCCCTGTTATTCTCCTGACTCTATACTTTTTTAAAATTTTTATTTATTGATTTAAGAAAGAGAAACATCACTTTTGCTGTTTCACCCTTTTATGCATCCATTGGTTGCTTCTTGTATGTGCCCTGACTGGAGATCGAACCCACAACCTTGGTGTATCAGGAAGATGCTCTAACCAACTGAGCTACTCCGCCAGGGCTGACTCTATACTTTTGTATCTGCTTCACCTGTCAGTCATCATCAGAGGGGTCCCCTTGGCTGGACCAGCAGGGCACTTGGCTCAGTCTGCCTGACCCTGACCTCCTGGGCTCCACCACCTCCTAGGTGTCCGCTAAATGCAATTTTCCTCCTGGCTCCTAGAACAAAGGCAAGCTACTCTCCAGGGACCCATAATTTCAGATGGGGACATTTTCCCAGCACCTTCAGACGAGTTAAAGGAATTTTTAGGCAGCAAGGACACCAGGCAGAGGCATCTAACCCCAGGCCAGTCTTCTGCATTGTCAAGGAGTAGGGCTCACATTCTGGGGGCCGGACAGATGGGGGGAAGTCTTAAAACGTCCCAGGCTAGTCTGACCTGGCACTCTAGCCTTGACCTTGGCCCCATCGCTGAGGTCAGGGGTCACGCCGCTGGGTTCCCAGGGCCCCCATCTCTTCCTACCCCCGCTTCTTCCTCCTGCCCTGGGCTTGCTGAAATGGAAGGGGCTTCCCACGGCTGCCTAATTATGAGGAGGCAGCAATTATGCATAACGGATCATAATGAAATCTGCCCGAAGTGAGAACGGAGTTCTGAGAGGGCATGGGTGCCAGAAATGTCCCAGCCAGAAACAGCGTAGACTAAGGACACAGCCGTGGTGACCACCCACGACAGCGCCAGAGCCAGAGCCTACACAGCGGACCTCGTCTCCCCTGGTGTGCGCTCGCGCGTCTCCCCCGGAACTCCCCCGCGCCCCCATTCGCTCTTGCAGAACGCGGAATGTCGTTTCCATACAGCGCGGCTCACCAGGGCGCTCGGAATTCGCACCAGAGCTTCTTGGCGGGAGGTTTGCACATTGCCAGCCTCAAGCTCTAGGTGGCGTCATCTCTTTGGCTGCGACGCCGCACGCACGCACGCGCGGAGCTCCGCACCAGGGAACCGCGGGCATGCGCTAAGCGGGAGGAGACGGCGGCTCGGCGGGGTCACCCAGACGCAGGCGCAGTGCGGTGTTTGTCTGCCGGGCTGTCGGGCGGCCGGGCGGCCGGCGGTGCGCGGCAGCGGCGGCGGGGAAGATGGCGGCGTCCTCCCTGGAGCAGAAGTTGTCCCGCCTGGAAGCAAAACTGAAGCAGGAGAACCGCGAGGCCCGTCGGAGGATCGACCTCAACCTGGATATCAGCCCCCAGCGGCCCAGGCCCAGTAAGCACGGCGGCGTGGGGGAGGGGGCGGGCGGGGGCGGGGCGCGCTCTGCGGGAGGCCCCGCCCACGTCTCTAGGCCCCGCCTCCTCTTTCCGTAGCGCGCTCGCTTCTCCTCACTGCCTCCGCCAGCTGTCTGCTCGCGTGGAGCGGGTCACGGTGACCCCGCGCCTAGGGGCTGGCGGGCTCCCGGACGGTCTTCCCCCAGCCTGGGGAATGCACCTCTATGGGGCCTGAGAGGCTAGGTACCCGGCTCCAGGTGATGTTACCCCACCGGATGACCTGCCCCCATCACCGTGATCTGCGGAGCCTCTGTCACCTGCTGAGAGCCGTGCTTCCTCTACCCCATGCGACTGTGACGACATCCAGGTCCCCAGCAAACTCGCACTCGTCCCTTCTGACCAGATGGTTCCACTCCCTCCATCTCAGTGACTGTTCAGAGAGCCCTACCCCCACGCCACTCCTGGGTCCCTGTCATCAGCTTCAAGGGGTGATCCACTCACATACTCACACCTGGCCTGGGGACACCTGAGGTCACTTGATCACAGATAACCCCCCTTTTTCCTCTGACCTGATGGTTCTCCCACTCCCTCCCTGTGACTGGGGATCCCTTCTCCCCAGTTGGACTTTGTCATTGGGCTCAGCAGCCCCCTTCCACACTATACACATACACCAGGCCCCTGCATACTCCTCTGACCAGTTTCACTACCACCATCTTGGTGACTGTGTCTAGCCCCCAAAATACACACCCAGCCTCCAGTCTGAGGACTTGGTCATTTGGGCTCAATGACTTCTTCCCCACACACCAATACTGACGTGGCCTGGGGACACCTGAGGCCAGTGTGGTTATATCTAGCATCCCAGCACTCATATACCTCTACTCTGATCCCACCATCTCAGTGCCTACCTTCCTGGCATCTTGTCATCTGGAATCAAGAGTTGTCCCTCTAATACCCCCACCTGCCCTGGGATCACCATGGTTACATTTAGTCTTGTTATGTCCCACAGAACCCCTCCTCAAATCCTCTCGCAGCTGGAGGGCATCAGATTTCCCTCTTCACACAGACCTAATGAACAGCACCCCACAACGCTTTCTGTGTCTTTCTTGTCGTCTTTAATGTCCTCTCTGATATGACCCTTGTAGCTTATGTAGCTCCCATGTCATCATCCTGACAGAAAGAGGAAGACACCCTATATCCGGGTACTCCCAGCTACCCGCTACTCACCCAGCCTGACCTTCACAGCCTGAAACCCACCCCAGTCCCTGTGTAGGGCCCACTCCCCATCCCTCCCTTCCTGGGTCAGCTTGGGTTCCTCCATGAGAAGGTCTCCTGGGGGCCCAGAGAAAGCCTTGAAGCGGCCATGCTGGCATTAGACACTCCTGGCGTGGGGCAGGAAGCCCAGCCAGGACTGGAGGGTCCATGCTGGGCTCTGCAGTGCTGCACGGTCCCCTCCCCCGCACCCCCCCTCCGACCCCTCAGCATGAACAAGACAGAGTTGGGTATGGGGCCTGAGGTGCCTTATGGGGGTGGCTATCCCAGTTGCAGAATGACGCACAGTGAGGCCCAAGGCGGGCAGGCCCTTGAGGAGCCTCACTCTAGGCATCTGTGTCTGTGTCAGCTCCATCCCATCCTTCCAGTCCGCCCATCTGTCAGTTTCTACCCATCTCTGCAGTTTGGTGCCTTGCACCTCCCCCTCCTCCTCATTATGATTTGATTTCTTTTCTTTTGGACAAATCGGTTGTTTCTGTTGTGATTTATCGTCGTGTTTTTTTTTTCTTCCTTCTCCCCATCCAGTTATTGTGATCACTCTAAGCCCTGCTCCTGCCCCGTCCCAACGAGCAGGTACCAGCCTTTTTATCATCGCTGCTTGGACATCTGCACCATTGACTTAACTGCTGCCCCAGCTGCAGAATCCCGTCCCTCATCCCCCCATGCCGTGTGTGTGTGTGTGTGTGTGTGTGTGCATGTGTGTGTTTGTGTGTGTGCATGCACATACTAGCACACACCTTCTTGAACTCTCTCATTCTCAGTCTTTCTCCCTCCATGAGATCCACATCAGGCCCATTCCACCTCTTCCTCTGTGTTCTCTCACCTGCCTCCCCCACTTCCCTTTCTCTCAGAGGCAGGTTTGAACTCCCTGGAGGAGGAACTGGGCTCCCTCACCAACGAAGTATATCACTTGTGAGGGAGTCACACGTGTGTGTGCAAGTGTGTGTGTATCAGTGAAAAGGAGAGGAAGTGAGACCAATGGGTCAGCTGTGCCCATGTATCTACTTCAACAATTCAGGGAACATGTTTTGGCCCCTGTGTGCTATGTCTCTTCTAGGTTCCAGGAGCACAGCAGTTAATAAAATGGACCAAGTCCCTCTCCTTGTGCAGCTGATACTCCACTAGAGATGGGGTGGAGTATGAACAATGAGCAAACTCTTAGTCAGGGAGAGCAGGAGAAAGCTATGAACTGTGGAGAAAAGGCAGAGTCGAGTAGGGATGAGGGTTCTGCAGCAGGGTGGTTGAGGAAAGCCTCTGGAAAAGGTAGGATTTTTTTAACAATTAAAAAACACACACCTGTATTATAAGTTCAAAGCATGCTCACCCTGGCAGGTGTGGCTCAGCTGGTTGGGCATCGTCCCATGCACCAGGAAGTTGCTGGTTCCATTCCTAGTCAAGGGCACATGCCTGAGTTGTGGACTGCATCCTGGTAGAGAGCATGCAGGAAGCAGCTGATCGATGTGCTCTCACGTAGATGTTCCTCTCCCTCTCCCTTCCTTTCTCTCTAAAATTAACAATTTTTAAAATATATTTTATTGATTTTTTACAGAGAGGAAGGAGAGGGATAGAGAGTTAGAAACATCGATGAGAGAGAAACATCGATCAGCTGCCTCCTGCACACCTCCTACTGGGAATGTGCCCGAAACCAAGGTACATGCCCTTGACCAGAATCGAACCCGAGACCCTTCAGTCCGCAGGCTGACGCTCCATCCACTGAGCCAAACCAGTTAGGGCAATAACAATTTTTTTTTTTTTAAATGATCAGAAAAGTAAGTTCCACCAGCACAGGATTATAGATGACAAGCCCCACCAAGTCATGGAGGATTTCTCTGTTCCTGGATACATGATGATAAACAAAACCACTTCTATTTTACTCAATGAAAATGCATGGAGAGCCTCAGGTTATACTTTGGTGGCGAGCTGTCCATTATTTTTGGTGTCTTGTGCATGGTTCCAACTGCCCGTCACTTGGGGAGACTGTAAAATGATTTGTTCTGGAAACAAAGTCTTGTGGGAGGTGGGGGGAGCAGCTGAATGGAGGTAGAATGGCTCTGCCAAGGCCTTAGTGTAGGTGCCAGTGGGTCTGGGACTGGATGTGGATAGCACAGGCCCGGTGTGGGTGTGGGTGTGGGTGTGGGTGAGAGACCAGGCTGGAGGCCTGTCCTGTTGGCCCTTGTGAGTAAGTGGGACTAGGGTAGGCAGTTGTATGTGTACCACCTCCTGTGTATGTGTGTATGTGTGTGTGGGGGGGAGTCTCTGTTGCATTGTCTGCTTGTCTGCATGTGTGTGTGGGTTTGTGCCATGCCGTGTGTGTGTGTGTGTGTGTGTGTGTGTGTGTGTACACGTGCGTGCGTGAGCACTGGCTGACAGCCTGGTACATCTATGATTCCTGACAGCCGCATGCCCCCATGGTCTCTTATTCTCTCTAATTCATTCATGTCTCTCTCTCTCTCTCTCTCTCAATTTCATGATCTCCCTCTGTCCTCCTGACCTGCTTCATGGCTCATCATCACCTCAGAGCTCACTGACCACTCTGGGACTTTATGTAGCTCCCCCTCCCCACCACCACTTGAGATCCTCCTGTGCTTCAGTTTGCAGGGCTGGTGGAAGCCTCTGTTTCCTGAGGCTCTGGGGCAGCTCAAAGACCCAGTGGCCTATGTGAGGGAGGGGCCTCATGGGGCACCAAAAAAGTGGAGAGGGCAGAGATGTGGTCCTCTCCGCAGAGAGCTGACAGTGCAGGGCAGAAAAAGGATCCAGGTACTTCTCCGGGGATGAGAACCTGACACTGTCTCGGGAGACTCCATGTGCAGGGGGAGTACAAAGCGAGGTTGTTGAGCCAGAGAGGGAAGGCTTACGACCCTGGTTCAGGCCATGGCAGAGCAGAGGTATAAGGATGCTACAAAGCTGGGGCAGGATGGGGGGCATGGAAGTTGAGGGTTCTGGGCTTGACTATGTCTCCGGAGTCTCCAGAACTCTATCTCTATTCCTGCCAGGGCCTAGCAGGACCTGTACCCCTTCTAGAACTGCAGGCCAGGGTCACATACTTGTTCCCTCACTCTGGCTCCCTCACAGCAGGGTCCTGGGTCAACAGGGCAAGGAAAGTGCTCGGACACCAGCAACTCAAACATATCCATTGGTCACTGGGCCCGGGTTACTAGATGCTCACAGAGCTGTGGGAAGAAAAAGTGGGCTTCAGTAGGAGGTGTGGAGAGAGGAGGGACATCAGCTGGAAGCAGACCCCATGGGAAGGTGAACCTGGGAGGATGCTTGTAGCCAGTGCCCTCCCAAGCCAAGGAGCCCCTCCCAGAGTGCCAGGGCCTCTCAGGTATAAGGGTTCAATGGAGGATTGTGTGTCTCTTCCGGGGGCCACAACAGCCTCTGTTCCTCCAACCTGTTGCCAACCCAGCCAGGGGAGGCTCCCACCCCCTCAGCGAACCTACTCTCCTGTCCAGGCCCCTCTCTGGCCTGTCTCTGCAGCACCCCAACTCTTGGGTAGCTGGGCTCCGGTCTTGGCTCCCGTCTGTCTCCTGCCCTCCCATCCCCTAACGCTGCCTGCCTGTCCTGGGCTGTCCGCTGCCTGTCCGCTGCCTGCCTGCCTGCAGCATGTTCAAAGCCATCTGCATGCAGGCTGCTGGAAAGAACCAAACCCCTGCCTGGCCTAGCACCCCCTCCAAATCCCACCAGTCCTGTAGGGGCTGTGCCAGCCGGAACCCCTCATCAGCAGGACACAGGCCCAGCTGGGGTCCTGCCCCTGCTACTGTCCCTGTTGGCCCCAGCTGTGCAAGCCAGGCTGGGAGGCTCACAGATGAGCCTGCTGGCCAGAGGGTGGCTTTTCCTTACTCTGAAACAGAACACGGGGTGGGGGAACCCTGGGTCCCTCGCCCACTGTCTCCCCAGGATGGCCTGCCTCACTCTTGTTAGACCAAGTTCATTGCAGCCCACAGGACCAGAGCGCAGGCTGATCCTGGCTGGCAGTCCTTCTGAACATGGTCCTGAGCATGGGTGCTGTGGCCCTGGGCCTGCTTCCTGGGTAGACGTGGGGAGGAAAGGGACATGCCAGGCAGGACACCTGTCTGAGGGATGCCATCAGCCTCCAGGACTCATTTTTCTGACAGCATTGACTTGGGGATGAACCGTTGGCCTCTGGGGACCACGATTCCCAGCCAGCCCTCTCCATCTCCTTCCAGGGGAGGGAGATGGGAGAGGTACCCTGAAAGTGGTTCCATGGGTGAGGCGCCAGCTCCTCCCACCCAGCAGGTCAGGCAGCTGTGCTAGCCTATGTGAGGATTCCTGGGAGGGGAAATCATTGTCCCTAGCCCCCAGATGCCAGCATTGGAGGTGGGACCAGCTGCATGCCAACCCTCTCCATGCCCCTGCCTCTCACCCCCCCCTCCTCCCAGCCCTCCAGCTCCCACTGGCCAACGATGGCGGTAGCCGTTCACCATCTTCTGAGAGTTCCCCGCAGCAACCCACGCCCCCTGCCCGGCCCCGTCACATGCTGGGGCTCCCATCCACCTTGTTCATACCCCGGAGCATGGAGAGGTGAGCCTTCAGAATGGGGCCCCTGACCTTTGGGAGGTCAGCTTGGAGGGCTGCTGGGCTAGCCCCAGGGAGGAGGTGGTGAAATATGTGTGTTGGGAGCTGGGGTGGTCTCAGGTTGGTCAGGACCCCCCTCCACTCACATCCTCACCCTGTTCCTCCAGTATCGAGATTGACCAGAAGCTGCAGGAAATCATGAAGCAGACAGGCTACCTGACTATTGGGGGCCAGGTACTACCCTTCCCCCAGCCCCTGGGCGGTGGGGGAGGACACAGTGGGGCTAGGTCTACATGGTAGGGCAGAGGCCGTGCAGATCCTCAGTCCTGATTCTCTTCACCAGCGCTACCAGGCAGAAATCAATGACCTGGAGAATCTGGGGGAGATGGGCAGTGGCACTTGCGGCCAGGTATGGAAGATGCGCTTCCGGAAGACAGGCCACGTTATCGCTGTCAAGGTGAGCACCCGCCCCGCCCAGGTGTGTCCCATGCCTCTCAGCTCTGGTGCTAAGGATCTCCTCTCCTCTCCTCCCCGCACTGTCCTGTGCAGCAAATGCGACGCTCGGGGAACAAGGAAGAGAATAAGCGGATCCTCATGGACCTGGATGTGGTACTCAAGAGTCATGACTGCCCCTACATCGTGCAGTGCTTCGGGACCTTCATCACCAATGTGAGCCTGACCGCCTAGCCCCTTCTTTTCTGCCCACTCCCTTGAGTCTCTCTTGCCGCTCTCTGAGTGTGCCCCCCAGCCCCTCTTTTCTTTCCCTGATTGGGGTGGGCAAGAGGGTACGGCCGCCCCCAAGCCATGCCTGCTGCCCTTGCAGACGGATGTCTTCATTGCCATGGAGCTCATGGGCACCTGTGCTGAGAAGCTGAAGAAGCGGATGCAGGGTCCCATCCCTGAGCGGATCCTGGGCAAGATGACGGTAGCGGTGAGTGGCCAGGCTGGGGCAAAAGGCCCAGGCCCATCTCCCCCCTGCCAGTCACAGTGCTCCTCTTTCCTCGCAGATTGTGAAGGCACTCTACTACCTGAAGGAGAAGCATGGTGTGATCCACCGGGACGTCAAACCCTCCAACATCCTGCTGGACGAGCGGGGCCAGATCAAGCTCTGCGACTTCGGCATCAGTGGCCGCCTTGTCGACTCCAAGGCCAAAACACGGAGCGCTGGCTGCGCTGCCTACATGGCAGTAAGTGGGGGCCCGGGTGGCCTGGGCAGTGAGCCTGCTCCAGCCACAAGGGTCCATTCTCCCCTTTCCCTGTCTACTCTTCCCCCACCTCTTCCTACAGCCTGAGCGCATTGACCCCCCGGACCCCACAAAGCCAGACTATGACATCCGGGCTGACGTGTGGAGCCTGGGTATCTCTCTGGTGAGTTGGGGCCCCTCCTCCTGAGGGCTGGGGTGACCCATTTCTGGGGTATGGGAGGACAGGAGTCTGTTTTCAGCCACTCCAGCCCATGTCTTCTCAGGTGGAACTGGCAACAGGACAGTTTCCCTACAAGAACTGTAAGACGGACTTCGAGGTCCTCACCAAGGTCCTGCAGGAAGAGCCCCCGCTCCTGCCCAGTCACATGGACTTCTCGGGGGACTTTCAGTCATTCGTCAAAGACTGGTGAGGAGCCCCTACCTAGGCCTTCCAGGAGGGGGGCAGATCAGGTGTGGCCCCAAGCTCAAGGCAGCCAGGGACGTTTGGGGTGGGAGGATGGAAAGCCTGCCCTCATGGGGATGGGACAGCTGTGTGTCAGAAGGGGCTCAGGGAGGAGTCAGAGCCTTGGAGCCATGACTTGGGTTTGGACTGGGCCGGAGGTGACAGCTGGCCCCAGGGCATTTGGCTGGGTGGCCTGGGGCTTCACCTCAGGAAGTTTTAAACAAGCAGAGGGGAGAGGGCTATGAGCATCCTGCACCAACAAGCAGAATTATGCAGGCAGGATGTTTATGTTGGATTCTCCCTCAGGAAAACCCCTCCTACTGGCGCCTTACAACATGGTTCAGGCCCCTGTCCTACGTGGGTGCAGGCCTTGCGTCCTCTGAGGTATCCCAGTTGGTGACACAGGGCAGGGAAGATGCAGTAGCTCTTCCCCACAGGTTTTGCAGACCGCTGGCTGAGCAGGTAGGCCAGCGGAGCCCCTCCAGGCTCTCACTTCCCTTTCCTCCCTTCTTCCTCCAGCCTTACTAAAGATCACAGGAAGAGACCAAAGTATAATAAGCTACTTGTGAGTACCTGAGGCCCTCCCTACCCACACACCCTACCGCCTACTCGTCTGGACATCCAGGGCCTGGGTGAGGCCAGCAGCTGCCCATGTTCTAAGCTCTCCCCTCCGGCCCTGCAGGAACACAGCTTCATTAAGCATTACGAGACGCTGGAGGTGGACGTGGCGTCCTGGTTCAAGGATGTCATGGCGAAGACCGAGTCACCGAGGACTAGTGGAGTCCCAAGCCAACACCACCTGCCCTTCTTCAGGTAGCTGCGTGGCGGTGGCCAGCCCCACTCGGGGGGGGGGCCAGAGAAGTGGCCACAGGTCCCCTCTTCCCTACTCAGCCACCCAGCTGCCCACCACGGGAGACCTGGGAACTGGATGTCCGCCGAGGGCTGAGGACAGAAAGTAGGGGATGCCAACCCAACCCCGACTCCCTACCCAGCAGCCATGGACAGATGGGCCCACCAGGCCCTAGCCCTTCCAGTCCTGGGGTCAGCCGGCTGTACAAGTCCCCCCAACAGACACTGTGAACAGAAGACAGCAGCAGGCCATGAGCAGACTTGCTATTTATTCAGTTGTAACCCCTGGGCTGGGGTGGCCACCAGGGGCCAGGAGAGAGTCACCCTTCTTGTATCCTCCCCATGCTGTCCCTTCCACCTTTGTAGTACACATGCTCCCTGTCTCTACCTGCCTCTGTCACCTCCCTTGATGCCTCTCTGGTTTTCCCTGTCTCCCTTCCTGTATCTGCCTCTCTCCTGGCCCAAGCCCAGGCTCTGTTACCCACAGCAGGACTCCTCGGTCCACTTAGGTCTGTGGTGAGCAGTGAGTCCTTTGGCTGGCATCCTCGTCCCAGGAAGGCAGGCTGGGCATTATGACTGCAGCTGACCAGGCTGTGGGGGCTCTGGCGCTTGTGTGCGCGGCTCTCGCTCTCTCTCTCTCTCTCTCTCTCTCTCTCTCTCTCTCTTTGATCTCAGGGGGTCCTTTTTGGAACTTACTGTATTTTATTGTACTCGGTGGGGTGTTTGGGGGATGGGGGAGGAAGAAGAGCTTGTTCTCATGGGATTGGTCAGTACCTTCAGAAACTTTTACCAAAGTCATGTTTAGCTGCTGTGGTATAGCCCTCAACCTCCTGTGGGCATTGGGGGGTTGGAGCCAGGTAGGGGCCTGGGCCACTGTGCCTTGTCAGCCTGTTCTGGAGAGACTATTCCCAAAGGTGGGGGCTGGGGGTGGGGCTCCTCCCTTGGGGCTGGAGACTGGCCACAACTTGGGGTGAATTGAGGACCCCAGGCTGTGTGGAGGAGCCCACAGGGCTGTGGCCACACAGGGTGGCCTTCAGGGAAGGTGGGTATGGGGCATGGTGGGAGGCAGTAAATGCTGCTATGGCAGGAGAAGGGAGTGAATGACAGTAGTGGGGGTCATAAGGCCCAAGGAGGCAGGGATTGAGTGTATAGGGAATGGATGTGGGGGTTTGAGGATGTGTGATAGGGACAGAAGTGGAGCGGGCCTAAGGCTGGGCTGGGGGTGTGAAGGCAGTCATGCCCTCACAGTGCCCCTGAGCATCCCTCAACTTCCCCAGAGCTGGCCAGTCCCCAGCCCACCTTGAGGATAGGCCATGGGGCCCCTCGCCCCCCCACACCCCTCAGCAGCAGTCAGAGCAGGAAGGGGGGTGTTTCCTTTTTTGTTGGTGATGCATGCAAATCAGTAGACAAACATACACACACCAACCAACCAACGCCAAAGGTGATGAACTCCCTGGATGTAGCTGGAGCAATGTAGACTCAGCATAGGCATCACTGTAACCTCTCTCTATCCTATTGACTCTTGTTACTCTTAACATAGTCACAAAAGGCCGCATGTTTAAAAAGTACTCTTTGTCTTCTCTCTGCTCCCCCCAGGGGGTTGGGGTGACCACCTTTCTTGCCCAAATCCCCCTTGTGACTGGATGGGGCAAGGTAGAGGTAGGTGGGCAATAGGCCTGGCTCCACCCTCGGAGGGGTCCCAGGCACGGGGGCTTTTGCCCATAACCAGAAGGTCAAGTGGCTCGTTCCAGGGCCAGCAAAGGTCAGAAGCCGGCTGCCCGGTTTATTTTATTTAACTTAATTTTGTTTATGAGTGTGTGTCTGCCTGTCCCTCCCCTTCAGTGTTAAGTGGGAGCCCTGAGGGAGCCTCTCCTCCCCCCACCCGCCTCTCCCTGTTTCCTCCCTCTATCTCCAGTCACCAGCCGTCCTTCTGGACCAGGCAGAGGGTTGAGCGGGCAGGCAGGAGCCTGGGGCGACTTGGCCCAGCCCACCAGCCCATGACCCCTTCTCAGGCCACCAGTATTGCCCCTTCCCTTTTTAAAATGAAACACCCTTGTTTGTAAATCCTTAGATGCTTGAGAATAAAACCCCTCCCTTTTCTTCCACTGAGTCTGTGGTGTGACCTGAGCCTTGGCAGGATATGGCATGAGATGTGGGAAGGGTCTGTAAGCCCTGACCTTGTGGTTGGAGGGCTGGGAAGTGGTGAATTCTGGTGGATAAGGTCTCTGCATCAAAAGGGAAACTGAGGCAGGGTTGTAGCTGGGAGGGTGGTCTTTGTAGTGATTTGCCCAACATCAAGCAGGCAGTATGGAGGGACACCCGACCCCCAATAGCCAGAGCTCCTGCTGGAGAAGAGCTCTTAATCCCTGGCAGGCCTTGGGGAAGGGCTCTGGTGTCAGCCCGTCAGTCTGCCACCCCCGCTCTTTGCTTCCCGGAGTGGCTGCCCAGCCAAGGACAGGGACACCTGATTACCTGCTGGGCCTGGGTGCTGCCTGGACTGGTGCCTCTGCCTCTGGCCCCCACACACTTACCGCAGCCAGTCCAGCATGCTGGGTACCATGGTCCTACTGCTGGCCCTGCTCCCAGGGATCTCCACCTTGCCCAGCGGGCCACCTGGTATGTAGGGATTGGGAAATATATATGCCTTCATGCTCCCATTCCTCCGCCACCCTTTCTGAACCTCCATCTATCTTGCCTTGGGAAATGTGTGGGTGGGCAGTGGGGTCTACCCCTGTCCCCCATTTCCAGGTTCTCTGGGATCCCCAACTTCAAAGTTCCCAGCAGCCACGTGAGGCCAAGTACTGTGGGAGGGGAGGGGTCTGGGCAGATACTTTTAGGGAATGTGTATGTGGGCCATCATGAAGCAGACATGTATGCACTGCATGTGCATGTCCTCTCTGATTAGGAGACCCCTGTTGGTGTTCCTGGTGCCTCTACCTTTATTGCGATGCCCTCAACCTGAGAGGAGTCTGGACAAACGGAAAGCCTGGTGGCCTGGCCGGGCTTGGGCTGTGCCAGAAGGGCTGTGGGAGAGCACCCCTCTTTCCTTTCCCCCCTTCCTTTGATGACAGCACCTGTCTCCTCTTAGAAAGGGAAGGGTGGGGGCCCCACACTCCTGGCCCTGCTGCAGCTCCTGGGCTCCTCAGCCCCTTCCCAGTCTGGAATTCCCTCGCTCATTGTGGGGAAGGAAAGCAAAGCCAGGAAGGGGAGCCCCTCAACCAGGGGCACACAGCTTTGTGCACAGCCTCGCTGCTGGGTTGTGATGCCCCATGGGTCTCCAGGGAATACATCATAGCTGGTGTCCCACCTGCCTGAACGATTAGCCTAGCGTGAGTGAATTCACGCAACATTTTCCAGAGGCGGCTAGGAGATTGAATCATTTGCTTGAGGGCCTAAGGGGGAGCCCACACTCCCTCTGTGCCACTCTTTCTGCCCCGCCAGCGCCCCCCTTTCCAGTGGCGCCCGGGTCGTGGCTGCGTCGACCCGTTTTCAGTCTAGAGCTGTCAGACGCACAGGACGCGTTCCACCGCCGCGCAGGGCCGCTCGAGGTCCCAGCGGACAGCCGCGTGTTCGTGCAGGTGCGGACAGACATGGGGCAAGCCGGGCCGGCGGGCAGGTGGGCGCAGCTGGATCCTGAAGGCGACACTCCACCCCCAGGCGGCCCTGGCCCGGTCCTCCCCGCGCTGGAGCCTGGCCCTGCACCGCTGCTGGGTGACGCCCTCCTCACGTCCGGCCCCAGGACCCACCCTGGCGCTACTGCGAGGGGGCTGCCCCGTTGATTCCTCGGTCACCTTCCTGCCACCACGCCCTGGGGCCGCCCGCTTCAGCTTCCGTCTGCGCCCGGTCTTCAATGCCTCTGTGCAGTTCTTGCACTGCCAGCTGAGCCGCTGCCGCCTCCGGGGAACCCACCGGACTCCTGAACCTCTGACGCTGCCGCCCCAGTCGCCGGTGTGCGGGCGCAGAACAGGGAGTCTGGGCTCCTGAGGCCGGTGTGGGGTGGGCAGGATCACCTCCAGCATTGGAAGGAGGAGCCTCTTGGGTTTGGGGAATCTTGGGGTCAGGGCGCTTTGGAGCCTGGGGCACGGGTCCCTTGGAGCTGGGGGTAGGTACTGGGTCTCTCCCAGGCCAGGCACAGGGGCCTTGAGGGGCCCCAGGGGCTCCGCACAAGGGTTCCTCAGTGAACAGGGAGTGTAGGCACTGAATTCCTTCATGGCCATAGCACCAGAACCCCCTTGGGTGGACCTCTGCGGTCCCTCCAAGGATGGGTGGTTGGATAAAAGGCACTAAGGGGCCAAATCTCTGGGTGCCTAAAGTTAGAATCCACGATTAGGTGCTCAGAGAGCCGGGTCGTGTGACTTCCTTGAGGGGCTGAAATTTGGAGTCTGGGAGCTGTGGGGCTGGCTGCTTGTATATCTAATGGGCTGGGCTTGGGGACCCCCAAGGGGTCGGATTCACAGGGATCTGGTGGTGGGACTCCTGGTTGCAAAGAGATCTCTCGGGAGCCCTGGGGAGGAGCTCCTGGATCCTGGGCCCTCACATCCCTGTCCCTTCCCTCTCCCCCCCACCCCCACCCCTACCCCGCTGCAGTGTCTGCCTCAGGAAGAGGCGTGCGCCAGCAGTGGCGGCGGCGAGAGTCTGGGTGCCAACGGCCCCCACCTGCACACACTGACGCAGCCCATCGTGGTCACGGTGCCACGGCCGCCCCTCAGTGAGCGCGAAAGTCCTCTGCGGGGGTCCCTGGGGCAGGAAAATTGGGGTGGGAGGACTTCTGGGGCCTGGGCCTAGTCTCCGCGTTGTGCTCCCCACAGGGCCACCTAAGGGCGTCCCCGGCATAGCCGTACGCCCTGAGCCTCCTGCGCCGGCCCCGGTGGCCCTGGAGCTCGCACCGTTGGTGGCGCTGGTGGTGGCCGCCTTCTTGTTGGGCGCCGCGCTGGTCGCCGGGCTCGGCCTCGTGTGCGCGCATTCAGGTACCAAGCTTGGCCCGCTCAGATCTTCGCTTCGCCCCCAGAATATTCCAGTGCCTTGGGGTCGGGGTCTCTGCGTTCCCAGCTTGCGTAGCCTGACCATCCTTAGATCTGCCCCCGTTATGCCCGTAGCAGCCCCCAGGGGGCGCCCTTGCACCGGGCCAGCGTTCAGCAACCCCTACTGCTCCGGAGCCTGCCTCTCACTTCCAGCGCCCCCATCTCCCAGCCCACCCCCGAGAGCCTTGCCTAGTGATCCGCAGCCCAGAAGACCCCAGTGAGGCAGGTAAGTGTGTGTGTGTGTGTGTGTGTGTGTGTGTGTGTGTGTGTGTAACATAGGGCCCATAGGAGAGCTGGAGGAGGGAGGTGATGATAATGACTCTTCATAGAGCTTTCTCTGTGCCAGGCAGCCTTCTAAATGTTTGCTAATTTAATTCTCATAAAAACCTTTTGGTAGATACTATTAAAATCCCCATTTTAGAGAAGAGAAAAGTGAGGCACTCTCTGAAGTTAAGTAATTTGTCAAAGGTCACAAAATTTGGTGGAGCTGGGATTCAAACTCAGGCAGTGGGTCACCCGTGGTAGCCTGCGGGCTCTGTGTCTGACGGCACCATCCTCACCCCCTCACACAGACTGAGGGAAGCCATCATCAGCTGAGAGGGAGGTAGCTTTCCTGGTGTCCTCTCCCTAGGGTGGCATGGGTCGCCCCTTCAAGGGAAGGCGCACCCCCAGCAGAGTCCAGGGACGCACCCGCCAGGCTTATGTCGGAGCAGACTCACCAGTCTGGACCGCAGCCTTCGACCTCGGACCCCACGGGACCACGATCCCTGCACCCCACCCCCTCACTCCTCCCACCTGGACTCAAAATAAACATCTGGTTTGACATGCAGAGCTCTGAAGTATGCTGTGCGCAGGGTTGGGGGTGTGGAGCAGGAAGCGGAGGCTTGGTATCTGGACTTGGGAGGGCTCTGGGCTGGCAGAGGCCCAGACTGGAGAGGTAGAGCTTGGCGGCGGGCTCATACACCCATATGCTTGAGTGCAGAAAAGGGTCAGGGGAGACCCAAGGGCGTTTTGTCCCAGACAGAAAGGGGCACCCGACCCCCACAGGTTGTTTTAAATCCCGCTTTCTTCCTCCACCCCAGCACCGGACCACCTGCCTCTTTAGCTCTTCCCAGATCCAGGCCTTCTCCGCTCTCCACTCGCACCGCCCGGACCCTGCCCTCGCTAGGACCCCGGCCTCTGCTCCTGTCTCCTCTCCCTTCTGGTCTAGAGCTCCCTAAATCCTTCCTGCCCGAGCTTCGAGCTCCCCTGGGCATTGACAAGTGCGAAACGACTAGCTCCATTTTACAGATGAGGAAACGGAGGCTGGGTACAGCTAAATCAGTTGCTCAAGGTCCCCAGGGTTGGGCGACCCCACAGCCCAGGGTCTTGGCTACGACTGGGCGGGCAGCTGCCCTTCCGGCCTCTTGGAGAAGCAAATCACACCGCAGGAGTTTCACAAGACTTAGTCCAGAAATGGCGGGAGGGCACGAGACCTAAGTGGCTCCAGTGTACAAATGGGATAAATGCGGACCGGGTCCGCGTTCGCCACCGCCAGTTCGTATGCTGGCCTCCCTCACGTCGCAGCCACACCCCGCCCTCTACCGCCCAGCGCAGACCACGCCCCCGTCGGCGTCCGCTTCCGCGCGTGCTTTGCGGCCCCAGCGGCCTCCGTAACCCCGCCCCCAGGGGCGGGGCCCGCCACCTCCGCCGTCGCCGGCATGAAGCCTCCACCGAGGCGACGAGCTGCCCCGGCGCGCTATCGGGGCGAGGTGGCCGGCGGCGCCGTCTGGAGCGCCCTCGAGAAGCGGCAGCTGCTCCGACTCCTGCAGGCGCGGCGGGGCCAGCCGGAGCCGGACGTCGCCGAGCTGGCCGGGGAGCTGCCGGGCCGGAGCGAGGCCGAGGTGACGGGATCCCGGAAGGGAGAAGGCTGGACGCGGACCTGAGATGTGTCCGGGGAGAGGGGGCACCGCGAGTAGGACTAGTGGCGTGACGTGGGCAGGGGCCAGCGCGAGCCTGGGGGCGGGGCAGGGGCGGGGCGGAGGCAAAATCGAGGGGCGGGACGCACTGCGAGTGGATTGAACGGAGACCCAGACTGGGCTCACGTGGCCCACTGTGCAGCGGCGCTAGGCGGGAATGAGGTTGAAATAAGAATCAGGAAATGGGGTGCAGTGGACGAAACGGAGGTGAATAGGGTAGGACTGCAGGGAGGAGCCAGATGGGCCTGGACTTTACATTTTTATGAGGTCACCCCTGGGTCTGGGCTCCAGACCCCAGGCAGAGTCGCTGTAACCCTTAACGTTGGGCTTTGGCCTCTCCACCCAAGCCTTGGGTTTGTAGAAAGCCCATTTGGTCTCCTTTCTCTTCCCCAGATTCGGGATTTCCTCCAGCAGCTCAAGAACCGGGTGGCCCGGGAAGCCATTCAGAAGGTGCATCCAGGTGGCCTAAAGGGTCAAAGGCGTCGGGAAACACAGCCCCCAGCTCCCATCGAGGTGAGGCAGGGCCAGGCTCCCTGGAAGATGGGTGCGAGTTGGGAGGATAACTTGGTCAGAGGATCCTCAGTAAGCGGGGGACTCCTAAGAGTTGATCCCTAGGCTGACCATGTACTTTCTGGTTGCCCTACAAAGGTGTGGATGGATCTGGCTAAGAAGATAACAGGCCCACTGGAGGAAGCTCTGACTGTGGCTTTCTCACAGGTACAACCATCCCCTAGGGAGGCCAAGGGTGTCCCTAGGGACAAGTCATACACACACACACACACACACACACACACACACACACACACAGCGTAAGTAAGGTATGGATGGATCTGTGTCCTGGGCCCTTCCTCTTGCTAGCTCTGGCCAATCACTGGACACCTTGAGCCTCAGTACCCCTCCTCTGAGGCCATCTTCTGTATGTGACACCTTCCTTGGGTGAGCGGGTGGAGAGCTCAGCACAGTTAGCAGGGCGGGGGTGGTGACTGAAGGGAGGACTTATGCTTTCCCCTTCCTGATCTGTCTGCCTGTCAGGCGCTCACCATCATGGCCGTGGAGCCCGTCAGCCTCCTGTACTCCAAGCCGTCCAAGCCTACGCAGGCACATGGAAAACTACTGCCCCTTAACACCCCTAGCAGACAAGAAAACCCGAGCCCTGAGGCTGCTGGCCCCACCCCTGAAGCAGCTGCTGGCCCCTCTGCTGAGGGAGACCTCGAAGTGGATTTTGAAAAGATCTACAAGTACCTGTCATCCATCTCCCACAGCTGCCATGGCCCTGAGCTTTCCCCCGCTGGTGAGAATAAAGGGGGAGGGAGCTATGGTGGTGGGGTCCAGGCAGCAAGTCCTGACCTCCTCTTACCCTTCCCCTCGCCATCCACCACCAGAGTCAGCTGTGGTCCTTGACCTGCTCATGTCACTTCCTGAGGAGCTGTCTCACCTGCCCTGTGCAGCTCTGGTTGAGCATATGATGGATACATACCTACATCTGATGGCCCCCCAGTCTGCCCCCAGCGGTGGGAACCTGGGACCAGGAGCTGAGGTTTGTGGGACTGGCTCTAGGGGGCAAGAGGAGTCCAGTCAGGCCACCCCCCAGGCCCCTGAGAATGCCAGGCCTAGCAAACCGAGATCTGCCTGGCAAGTAGTTGGCGTTTGCCCCCTGAACCCATTTCTGGTGCCCCTGGAGCTTCTGGGCCGGGTAGCTACCCCTGCAAAGTGAGGGTCCCAGCAGACAGAGCACACACCAGACATCTGTGAGCTCCTGGCCTTCAATTCTGCTTGGGCTGGCACTGGGTATTCATGAGGATCTGGTCATGGTGGAAAGCCCCTCACTCAGTGTGCAGTGCCAAGTGGCCTTTAGGACATTCCAAACAGCAGGGGTTTCAGAAATTGAAGCCCATTTGTACAGGAGTTCAGCCACAGATCTTAAGTGGGGGCAGCCAGATGGCTGGGATAAAACCACCATCAAATACTGCCTCTCCTCCTCTCCTGCATTCTGTTGCTTATGCCCTATAACTGAATAAAGTTGTCAATCTGTCTCTTTTTTTTAAAGTTGATTTTAGATAGGGAGAGAAACATCGATTTGTTGTTCCACTTATTTATGCATTCATTGGTTGATTCTTGTATGTTCCCTGACTGGGGATCGAACCCGCAATCTTGGCATATTGGGATGACACTCTAACCAACTGAGCTACCCAGCAAGGGTTGTCGCACTCTTTTTTCTGTGACTTAAAGGTAGCAGAGCCCTGGCTGGTGTTCTCAGTGGTTAGAGTGTCGACCCATGCATCTAAGAGTCATGGGTTTGATTTCTGGTCAAGAGTGCATACCTGGGTTGCAGGTTCGATCCCAGGCCCTGGTTGGGGCACGTGCAGGAGGCAACCAATTAATGTCTCTTTCCCTTTCTCCCTTCCACTCTCTCTAAAAGTCAATAGATAAAATATCCTCAGGTGAGAATTAATAGCAACAAAAAAGTGGCAGTGGTGGCTCAGAGTACAGAGGGAGATGTTGGAGGTAGGAGGGAGCTTAGGGTCCTGGGGACCGAGGGGCATGCCAAGGAGAAGGGTGCAATCACCAAACGCTACCACTGCCAGGCTTGCTCCAAAGCTGCTTAGAGTGACCTCAGTTTGACTGAGGGGACCCGTGGTGATTATATAGAAGGTCAAGACAAGCCTTAGCTTGACAGGTGTCAGGGGAAGGTTTTCTGAGAAGGGTGACCTTATATCATACAGATGGAAGGTAGGGAGGGCACCAGCAGAGTGAGGTGAGGGTGTGTTAGGCAAAATGAATCTTTGTACTTAACCCAAACAGTCACCAGGACCACCAGTTCACCCCAGAAGGGGTGGGCCCATATCACCTGAAAGGAATGTTCTTGCATCACAAGTGGGTCTGTTGCCACTTGGCTATCTATATCACACTTCCCTCCCCTGCTGGTGTGAGCCACTTCTGTCCATAAGTTCCTTTATAAACTCTTTAAAAAATATATATTGATTTCAGAGAGGAAGGGAGGAGAAATAGAAACATAAGCATAACCAATGGACATAGACACCAGGGGGGTGAGGGCATAAACGGGAGTGGGGTGGGGGGCAATGGGGGGATAAGGACACATATGTAATACCTTAAATCAATAAAAAAAAATAACAATAATTGCTGGGCCTCGGCCAGGCCGGTTCCTCGGCCAGGAACCCAGAAGTCACCTGTTCGATTTCCTCATCAGGGCACATGCCCAGGTTGTGGGCTTGTTCCCCAGTAGGGGGTATGCAGGAGGCAGCTGATCGATGATGTTTCTCTCTCATCGACGTTTCTATATCTCTATCCCTCTCCCTCTAAATCAATAAAAACATTAAAAAAACACCTCAATGATGAGAATCATTGATCAGCTGCCTCCTGCACACCCACTACTGGGGATGAAGACTGCAACCAGGCATGTGCCTTTGACCGGAGTCCTTCAGTCCACATGCCAACGCTGTGTCCACTGAGCCAAACCAGCTAGGCCCTTAGTAAACTCGTGATGTTGCCCAAGGCTGAGGGACCCCAGGGTTAGGGTGTGCTCTCCCATGTTGCAGGTTAGAGAGAGGGTCTTCTGAGGTAGCCTTGGGGAAGCAAAGGGAGGAGGAGCAGAGCTGGGTAGAGTAGGGAGCTGGAGTCCCACCTGTTGTCAAAGGCCCCACATTCCTGGAGGTGCTTTTGGGTTTCCTTGCAAGGGGGTCCCCCCTCTACAGCCTCCAAGGGTGTGGGTTCAGGGGAGGGCAGGACAGGAACCAGTGTCCTTCCATGGAATGGCATATCCCCAGGCTTAACTAGTCCTCTGAGAGCCCAAAATTTTCTGTTCCAAGAGTCTGTGCATTCACTCAGCCTTCCTTTTATAGAAACCCTCACTTCTCCCCACACACATTGCACACGGCTCTCCTGGGACACATAGCACATTTCCTAGGTGGGTTGTGGAATCAGCCCACTCCATGATCAGGACCCCCCCCCCCCCCACACACACACACACCAGACCCACGGGTTCCCAAGGGCACATGATGATCGGAAGGAGGGACCAATATCAGAGGGGTTTGGAGCTGAAGATGTAATCATCGCAGCAGGAGGCCATGTCAGTTCTTGTAGGGCTGGCTGAGGGCACCCCATCCCCACTGCACTCAGCTAAGTCCATTCCCCAGAGTCTCCCTAAGTCAAGGGAAAGAGGAGGGTGTCTTGGCTGTGCCTGGAGCCAGGGGTATTGAGGTGGTAACACACCAGTCCCCCAAAGTATGGGTCTAAATGTCTGCAGCACTGCAGGAATGCTAACTCAGCTTTCTGCTTGGCTCAAGTAAGCACTCAATAGCTTTTATTATCACCATCTACTCAGAGACAGGAAGAGGAAGAAGGCATGAGGAGGGCATTGTGGGGGAGGGGGCAGGGAGATGGTATGGGGCATGGCAGGAGGGATCAGGGGTAGGTGTCAGTATTGCCAGTGACTGGCATACGGAGGTGGTGACCGAGGGAGGGGTGTGCAGATTACTAACAGGCCTGGGCGGGGGGTGGAAGTGAGTCTGCCAGGCTTTGCCCCCACGGAAGGTGCCAAACATCCTGGACACAGCAGCCATTGTTGCTCTTCAGGCTCGGTGTCAGGGCAGGCAGCACTGGGCATATTCTACCCCAAGGAGGGGTTCAACATGGGGGAGGGGCGGGGGATGGAGTAGTGGGATGGCCAGACGACATGGGAGGGGAGAGAGGGGTCCCCGCATCCAGGAACGCACATACCATTTATGCTGGAGGCTGGACAACAGCAAAGCCACCTACACGCTAGGCGGGGTGGCGGGTGGGTGGGTGTCAGTGAGTTTGGGGGCGAGGACAGGGCGGGATAAAGGCACCAAGTGGGGCTCGGGCTTGTCCGGGAGGGATGATGGGAGAGGCCTGCGAGTATGGAAGGTGTCTGGGCAGGGAGGGGCGGGACTTCTCATGCACTCCTCCTTTGGCTGGGCTCTGGGGTGGGATCCCGAGCGCGGTCAGGCCGACAAAGGGCCACCCAAGGGTGCCGTGGCTCAGACCAGCGCGTAGTCGAATTGGCCACGCTCGAGCGCCTCCTTGTGGTCGGTCCAGGACGAGGCGGGCATGCGGCTGTAGGGGTCGAGTAGGATGCGCACGCAGCGCACCATCAGCAGCACCAGCACCACGAGCAGGCAGAGCACGAAGGCGAACACTGTGCGCTGCTCAGCGTCCAGGCCCACGCCCGCCGGGGGCCCCGTCGACGGCGGCAGCGGCTCGGGGGACAGCGTCCAGGTCGTGCTCATGGCTCACATCCCCGCGAGTCCTGCGGACAAGAAGTCGGCCCTGGGCGCGGGGATGAGGCTGTGCCTTCCCACATCGCCCTCCTCCACCCACCTTGCCCGTCCCCCCTCTCCGGTCTCCAGGCAATGCCCATGCCCCACCAGTAGACATATCACCACGCGGGGACCCAACTCCGCACAGGTTGGGGAGCTGAGAGCGGAGATGGAGCCCCGACCTGGCCAGCCAGCACACAACAGGTGCAATCGCGCAGCCCCGGGACGCGGCATGGGATCCTTCCCCGTGCCCTGCTCGCTGTCATTGTTCTCGGCAGCCCGGGGACTCCGTTGCCCCACCACCCCTGCCGTTCCCCTCACCCTGGCCTCGACCGCAATGGGGACCGAGCGCCTGGCAGCCGTGTTCTCCTCCGGGACCCGCGCCGACTCTGCTCTCGGCCTCTCCCAGGCGGTGGTGACGGCAGTGGCGGTCGGGACTCAGCCCAACCCACCCGCTCCAGAAGCGGCAGAGACCGAGGCGGGCGAGGCGCGAGTGAGCCTGGCGCCGCTGCTGTTTCCATAGCGACGGGGGCGGAGGCTGCGCAGGGAGCGGCGCACGGCAGCGACCCCGCCCCGGCCTCAGGATCACTTCTCAGGCCCAGCTCAGCTGCAGGCAGCCAGGATCCCCACCCCTACAAGTACCCCAGATGCTCCGCCCAGATCTTAGCCCCTGCACTCCCTCAGCCCTAGGGACCCCAACCCCCAGACAGTTAGTTCATGGAAAAACTCCCTCGCTTTTCTTCTCACTGGTACCCCCACCCCCACCCCCAGGAGTGCAGGGTCCTAACCAGACAAGGTCCTTCTAGGTCCACAGTTTCTTCAGTGACCTTGACTGCTTCCCGTGACCATCTTGCCCACTCAGCCACACCAGTGACAGACATCTCAGACCACTCAAGTTGCTCTCCTGCACTTTGGTGTTTTATTATCACTTCCAAATCTCAGTCATACAGGTTAATAAGGGCACTGTTAAATTTTTATTTTTTTAAATGAAGCTAAAACGGCCCCGATGATATGGCCAGTGGGCCCCACCACCTGTCCCCAGGAGTCCCTGGGCCAGAGCCTCTTCCTCTTGGCATTGTCTGGCCAGTGCGCCGTGTTGACTCCCTGCCAGCAGCCCGAGCAGCAGAGGGGGTCAGGGGCTGGCACTGTGGGGAGCAGCCCTCTACAGCTGCTGGCCATTCCCGGTCCAGCTGGTTCTACAACCACCCTAGCAGAGAGCAGTCCAGAGCTGACAGTCGTCCCCAGAGGTCTACTGCCACAGGTGGACATTGCCACCCTGTGCAGCTGCCCTGCGATGTACAGCCTGGAACCTCCGGTCGTGGCTGCCAAGCTCAGAGGACCTGCTCTGTACTGGAAGCGGAGATGTCCAGGAGCCGCCAGGCCGCATATGGGTTGAGCTCATCCTGGTCCCGGCACAGTGCCCACACGTACAGCATGCGTAACACCTTGTCCTGCAGGAGTGGGAATGGGTATGGGCCTGGAGGCAGAGAGCAGCACAGCAGAATGAAGCTGCCAGGTCAGGACATGGGGGACCAGGGAGAGGTGTTGGAGTGTGGGTCTGGGGTCCAGAACAGAGGCTGGGACAGAGGCTAAAACTCAGGACTTGGTAAAACTGGACAAGTCAGTCGCCTTCTGACCTCTACCAGACCCAAAACAGGCCCTGGGACTTCTCAAGGTGCCATCCTGCTGTCCCCTCCCAGCCACAGAACTTCCTGGCTCTGAACTGCCACCTGTGTAGGTGGCTGGCCACTGCCATCCAACTGGTCCTGGGCTGGCTGTCTGCCCTGTCTAGCCCCCTCCCTCACTCACTCACCGGGTTGCCCTCGACCACCTCGCCTTTGGCGTTCTTGATCACCATCACCAGCTGGGCGTGGAAAGTGACAATCAGCACGGGGCCCTGCTCCATCATCTTGCCCATGGCCAGCTGTGGGGGGAGCCAATGGGGTGGATGGGTATCACTGAACAGTCCCCCACCAATTCCCTGTTGCTCCCCTTGATATGGAGACCCCCGTGTCCTGGGATGCTGCCAGGAGGAGCAGGGCACCTCAACATTTCAACTCATCACCCTGGCGGGACTCCGAGGAGCCACCCCAATCAGTACTCCAAGCCTGTCACCTCCTGCTGGCCTGTTTCTGTGTAGGCATTTCCCAGGAAACCCTTCCCATGGACAAATCCAAACCCTCTACTGTGAGATGGAGTCTGAACTTCTGAGAACCCATGAGGGCTCCCAACACCCTGGCAGCCTCTTGGTCCCCAGACTGGGGCTGTGCCGGGTGGGGGGGTGGGAGGGCAGCACACGCAAAAGGACCTCAGAGTTGGGTACCTCATACACAGGTCGGGGGAGGGAGGTTGGCGCTGGCATGCTTTTAGCCCAGAACAGGGAGGAAATGGGGGTGATTGTGGCAGAGCAGGTCTTTGGCAGCTGAGAAGTCCTGACAAAGCCCCCACCCTTCCTAGAAGGTGCAGGCATACCATCACCTTGGGGGACTCTGGGACCCTGATATCTGGGCAGCAGTAGCCCTTATGCCTACCACTTTCCTGAGAATATTCCAACCATAGGACCATGTAAAACTTTCACTGCAAGGGACCCTTGAGATCATTTAATCAAAGTGCCCACCTGTGATGGAACTCCTCCAGGGATGGGGAGCTCACTCCTCATGCTGATCAGTATGCCTTCCCAATCCCAGGGGACACCCAGCCCACCTGGAAAGTCACTTACGTCGACATTGTCAATGTCCAAGATACGGGAGTGGAACTGGAGGCCCAGCGCCTTGGCCTGCTGGATTGGGTGAGCCAGCTGGCTGTAGGTCTGCAACAAGAGGCCAACGTGCCCATCTGAGGACCACCCAAGACCAAGCCACACCAAGGCGCCACACCACAAGAGAGGGCTGGTGCACCGCTAATGCCTGCCCACCTTGGGCAGGTGCCAGCATCCCAGAACATGCTTCCTGCAGGCGGCTCACGAACAGAATTTCCTGATTTCAGCTCTTGCACCTTCCAGAAATGGCCACAGTACCTGGGTGTGCTACACCAGGGGCAGCAGATGCCAGGAGCATGGGTCCAAGTACAGAGGCTGGAGCCACCCATTGCTGGCCCAAGTCACACACTTCCTTCTTATTATAAAGACAGAGCTGTCAGGACCACCAAATGAAAGTGGTATTAATCAGCGCAGTAGGTAACTCCTCTGGAAAGCCACCTGAAATGCACTCCAGGGTTAAGTAGAGGCCTGCTTGGCTGATCTTAAATGCTCCCACATTTATCTCACTCCAAGTCTTGGCCTGGAATCAAACGCTTCTAGGATTTGCCCTAACCCATGGGTGGCTTTGAAACTAACTGCCTTGTTCTCACTGACCAGCCCTTTGTAGGTAGCTGACCATCGCAGGCGGCCTGTTCTCCCTACGGGGACAGTGGCGCCCAAAGTGACACTCTTAATCCCCTCGTGCCTATTCCCACACCCAAAACACAGCCTCTGGGACATGTGCAGCCTCATATCACAACAGGCAACCACAACAGAAGACATTCCAATAGAGAGAAAAATATGGGGTTCTTAAAGATGACATTTAAAAAACACCTCTGTGAGCAGCTATAATCTCAGCTGTGTTCCCAGGGGCACCAGCAGCTCTCTGGCAAAGAGAATCTGCCATGCCATAATGGTTCCAAAGCAAAAACAAAAAAACAAATAAATAAACAAACAAAAAAACACACCTTGTACTGACTACTGGATTAGTCACCATGCAGGGGTGTGTTTAAAAAGAAAATCTAACAATTTCTCTGCTTTTTCCAAGTTATTTTTGAGCTGGTACAGATCAGAATCGACCAAAAAAAGCCTCTGGATTGCTTAATACAAAGAAAATGGAAGCAAACACCCCATGAAGACACAGGTCAGGAAGTGAGCAGGGTAAGGCAAGGTGGCAGGAGAAGATGGAAACCCTGAGGAGATGAGGCGGTTGCCAGGAACAGGGCAGACAGTGTAACACCTGACCCACCTCCTCATAGCCTAGCACTGCCTGTGGCCCTGGGACCCCATCAGGACCCATGGCTCCTCCCCAGGCAAGAAATTTTATCAATGTCTATTTTGATCTGTGTTCTGGGATCTTGAAGCAAGAATAGCTAATGAACTCATCTGGTGCTTTGTGTACCCTGGAACACTGCTTCTGTGTTCAAGCTGTACCCCATGGAACGGGGACAACGGTGTGACTCTGGCTCAGGAAAGGAGGTGACGGAGGCCATTGGGGCCTCCAAATGCTCTTTCTCCAGCACCCACTGGCTCCAGGGGAACATCTAATGCAGCTCAGAGTTATTCATTGTCCATTTCCACCTGAACCCCGGGCCCCCAGCCTATACCCCAGGCCATCCTGGCCATGAGACCTTGCTTCCTGTCACTTAGGGCCACCTAAAACAGGGCAGATAGGCCACACTGAAAACTCACCTTACTCAGATGCTTCTCTTATCATCACCTTTCTCTCCTATGAGCCTTCTTAAACCAGAATTAGGATGGAGGAAGGGTTCTGGATGACAAGGCAGGAGGGCTGCCCTAGTCCCAGGCCATCCTTTAGGCCAAGTAAGGGAAGAAAGAGCAAGCTGGAAGGACCATTCCTGACTAGTTTACTCTAGAACAGTGGTTTCTCAACCTTCTGGCCCTTTAAATACAGTTCCTCATGTTGTGACCCAACCATAAAATTATTTTCGTTGCTACTTCATAACTGTAATGTTGCTGTTATAAATCGTAATGTAAATATCTGATATGCAGGATGGTCTTAGGCGACCCCTGTGAAAGGGTTGTTCTACCGCCAAAGGGGTCACGACCCACAGGTTGAGAATCGCTGCTCTAGAAGGACCAGCCACCAGGCCCTCGGTGAGTCTTGCAGGTTATGTGGTATGATGTGCATAAGGGACAGAAGGATCTGTGCCTCTGAGCATGTCAGACATAAGAACCTCCCTTTAGCCAGGACACCAGGTCCTGCCATGCCTTTTCCAGACCAGCTGCTTAGCAGATCTCCTCCAAACTTGATTTCTGTTTAGGCCTAAATAGAGAAAAAGAAAAGTACTCACAGCTTCATAGCACCAGTCTTTGAGAATGTCAAGCTCTCCAGAAATCATGGCCTAAAAAGGAAAAGACAAAAAAAAAGTAAGAGAATGAGAGTGGGCTTTTGAGGCAGGAGAATATTGAAGGATGTTCTCCAATGAGATCCTTTCCTCAGCAGACCCCTTTGTGGTGGGGTCTGGTTGAGGAAGGATGGGGAAGTTGAGTCAGGCTGCAGCAAGGAGTGCCATCTCCCCAGGCCCTTGGGAGCAGAGCCTCTGCATGTGGCCCAGGGTGGGTCTCCAAAGACCTGGTAGAAGGAAGAGGAAGGTGGCAGTATGCCAGGCTCTCACCCTGGCAGGGAAATTGAACCAAGGAGGTGAGAAGCTGCTTTCTGCTTCCCCTGGGGATAAAGCTTTGGATGGTGAGGCTCATATAGGGAGGGGGGAGTAGGGGCTGCTTCCACAGGAACCTGGAATCAGGGCTGGGAGGAGCCCAGAAAAGGAAAGGGAGGGCCAGGTGCCTGTGGGAAACTGTAGGTAGGCCGAGTGCTGAGCCACCCTTACTGTGGAAGAAGCTGCCTGAGCTTGGACTGCTGCTTTCAGGAATCACCCCACTCCCATCTCTGCCAAGCCCAGCCCAGCCCAGCCCAGCCC